TTTTATCATAAAAAGAAAAAAATTTAAAAAAGAAAATGAAAAAAATAGTTATGGTTAGACTTTTATCGATTGTAAACAGTCGGCCCAAACAGTGGGCCGCTCTCGTTCCAACGAGATAAGCTGCAAAAAATCAAATGTATGTACATAAATCTCTACTACACCCAATGATCTACTTAAATAAAGAACAATAACTATTATACATAACAATAAATGAAAAATCAATCTCATAATTCAAAAAAAAAAAAAAAAACTAACATTGTTGAAGATAATGACCGTGTGTGGTGGATTTGACTGCGAGGGTGCTTCTTTGACTGGATCCCACCTGTGGATTGTGTGTGTAATTTTCAATTTCTTTTTTCTTCTCTCTCAAACTGTTAGTAGAAGATAAGGGGGGGTATTTTTGAGTTTCGGTATTTAGCCCCCATTTGGTGCACATTTTTGGAAAAATAATGCATTTTTACTGTTAATGTGATGAGAAATATGTGGTTGAAAAAAAAGGAAAATTTATTGATGTGATGAAAAATATTATTTTATTGAAAAATATGTAATTGAGAATGAGTAGAAGATTGCGAATGAAAAAATTAATATGGCTTTAATTTAACCAATTATACATTTTAACTTTTTGTTTTTTTTTTTAAATGATGAAACTTGAATGATGAAACTTGAAAGGATAGTATGGAAATATGGCTGAGTGGATGGGCATTTTGTTGTAGTTCGTCTTTTAGAACTACCCCAACCATAGCAGCCCTAGCCCCTCCACAGCGACACCCTCTCCTCGTTTCTCCTGCAGTTCTGTACAAATTTCCCCTTATCCAGGCGCAGGCATAATCTCTATCGTCAAATTCACATGTTGTGATTAAGGTAAAATTTTAAAGAGTCATCGTGTGGAGCTTGATTTTAATTTAACGATGGGTTCGCCGTTATCATTGCTGTTCCCTGCTCTGCTATTTTTGTGCTGAATTCATCAATGGGATACCTGCTTTATCTTTTTGTTCTTTGGATTGAGTTTATTTCAATTTGTTTTTAATTACGTATATATCCTTAAGGGAACAAAGACTTCTTGTGTTACTCCATGAAATAAGAAAAGCAACTAAAACCAGTGATTTTAAGCTGAGTACATGGCCTGCTGGCTTGCCAGTCTGTATCAGGTCATTATATTTTGATTAAGAAGAGAAAAATACGTGTGTTCGGACATCCATAATCAATTCAGAGGGTTATCTTTTGTTTCATGTTAAAATAGTTTCAAATGGGAGACTGTTTGAGATGTGAGTTAAACTTACACTAGTTGAGCTGTGATAGTTTTATGATCACCCTGTTCCAATTAGTAAGCTTGTGATGGTATTTAAATGTATAGCTGTGGCGTCTATTGTTGGCTAATTATAGCTGATGGAGTGATGGTTAGTGTTTGTACTGGTGCTCTTCATGGTTGAACGTGATGAATGACAGAAAAATGCATCTTAGAATGTTCAATTAATTTCACGTGGTTGAAAGTTGTTGGATGTTAAACGCAAAATATTAGAGAAGTGAAATAGAGAAATCAACACAAGTATTTAACGTGTTTCGGCGATGTGCCTACGTCCACAAGGAGAAAAGCGGAGATTTTTGTTTAGTATGAATAATAGAGTTACATCATCAGTATTTATATTAACTCTAACCCAAGCCTATACAGGACTTTAGGCCTGTACAAGAAAAAATACACATGTACCGTACCACAGGGTATATTCTGCTTCCCTGTCAAACAAACAATGAATTAAACCCACAAGATCAATGCTGTTGCTCCACTCCATTTCGTTGAGTTCGCTCCGCTCTGGCATTGTCATTTTGATCCAGTAAATCTGTGTTCCACTCTATATAAGCCACATATATATATAACAAAAGTGATTTTACAATTTTAA